ACTTATAACTACTAAATTTTTTAATTAACTAAAAAACAAAAAATAAATAACTAAAGGGAGGATTAAGGAAATGACTAAAAGTCATACAATCAAAATTATTTGAGTATTTTATTATAATTTATTTGACAGCAATAACAATATTAAGAGCTTATCCTAACGATAATTGTTTACATATTCAATTTCAAAATTTTAAATATGTAAAATTAATAGAAATATATAAAAATTGAATAATAATATAGATAAACGTCATAAAAAAAAAGATTAAATGATTTGAATGTCAAACGATTGTTAAGAGGCTAGAGATCTAAAGAAAATAAGATATATTATCAACTATCTCACAACAAAATAAGAACATATCATTTTATTCAAAATGTTATATTTGAATGGAAGGCTAGAAGAAAAATTTGAAATTCTAATAGTATCATTACTTTAAGTATATAAGAGGTATAAATTTCTGCCGAGAACATCGTGGTGCAGTGGTCTCACTTGCACTGCTCTATGGCATTTGGGGGGTTCGATCACACCTTCGACAGAAACAAATAAAATAAGAGGTATAATACACTTAGGTTCGCCACTGGCACTTTTCTCATTTGGTCGTGATTTTACTTTTGCCTAAACATAGATTCTGATTGGTAGCTGACTTATCAATTTGTCATTTAAAATTTTTATGAATGCAATACTCTCCTAAGCCCCATAACCAAAGTAAGTTTGTCGCCACCATTACGTTTGCCTCTGACGATAGATCTTCTCCAGCTTGGCTCCTCCAACCAAATATGAGTTGCTCGTTTCCATCTCCGTTGTATATCATCACTTGTTTTCTTCTGCCGTCTTGCATTGTTAGCTACGATATCCTCTTTGATACTTCTCAAGACTTTGACTTCGAATCTATGGCTATATTTTTGGTCCTCGTTTTCACGCTATGAAGTCTGGTGACCATCTCCGCGTCATCCTCCCTTTTTGGCTCTCAATTCTAGTTCTTGTCTTAGAAGCCTTTGTCAAAAAGGTGACAACCACAGCAACTTTGAGGGCCACAATACGTCAGGTCGAGTCACTGGAGAGGCGTAGCTTAGGGCCACTATACGTCAGGTCGAGTCACTCGTCGAGTCACTGGAGAGTTTTCTTCCATCTTCTCTTTCATGGAGAAAACTCTTGCACTTGTTTCCTTCTCTTACAAGGAGATTTACACTCTTCCACATTCCTCCTCCATGGAGAGACCCTTTTTTCTTTTTAATGGAGAGACCTCTTCCTTTATGGAGAGACTAGCTCATTTTTTTTTAATGGAGAAATTTCTTTTTTCCTTTACAAGTAGATACCAGTCACCAATTTCTTTTTTAATGTAGCGTTTCTTACAAATCTCTTCCTCAATGGCCAAAATGTTAACCGTGGGAGCAACAATTGACCACCACGTGGTCTTGGAAATCAAGAAAGCTAATCTCAGTTTCGACAAAGTCTTCAGATCCCGACACTGAGATGAGGTACTAGTTCCAGACAACAATTGACAATCTCGACAACGTTTTGGAATTGATTTCATTGTGCCTCTAGTTCAATCCCACTTGGGAAAAGGGGGGGGGATTCTTTTCTTTCACGTAGTAATCTTTCTTCCAAGTGAT